TTTAGTGAGTATGGGATTTGGATTTTTCCAGCCCGTGTCATTTCGGTGGCAGCACGGAAAACCTTGAAGGTGTGCTGTCTCCGGGCGATACTGCTCTGTATATATGTCTGTCTCATTATATATGCATGTAGATACGTATAAAGAAAGAATTACGCTGACTACCTGCTGGCAATGCTATGGAGTATTACGTTTGTTAAACACCGGTGAGAAGATGTGTTTTGGTGGAAGCAAAGCCCTCATGCTATTCTAAACAGGCTATTTGGGAATAGGTGCAGAAAAAGCTTTTCAGGGTGTTAAGTCACCCCTATGTTTGATAGTAGCAATGTGCTAATATGCAATTTTAAATAGATACTGTGATTATTCTTGCAGAAAGGTTAAAAACGTGCAACTGATACTTTAGGAAATGGAAGATACATCGGGTAGTTGCTTTGAAGTCGTTACAACGGAGAGGTCAGGTGCAGAGCAGCCACCTGCATCCTTGGAAAGAAGAGCAGTCGGAGAGGGCAAGAATGGGGACCTGGCAGAGAAGCCTCTGCTTCCAGAAGCTACAAGCACTGTACAGTTAGAGGGCTGTGAGCAGCAGTCTTCTCTGGAGCAGTCAGCTCTGAAGGAACAGGAGCAGTCAAGTTCAGCACAGTGGGAATTACCCAGCAAAGGACTAGGCGAGCAAGAAGTGATCACAAATAACGAGCAAGACGTATTTGAGCCAGGTGCCCCATTCAGCGCATCATCTGAGAGCACATCACCTGTTACCAATGAGAATTTCTCTACTTTACTTGAATTAAGAAATTCAGAAAGGGAAGAACAAACATCTCAAAACTTAGTGCTATCAGAAAATACTGCAAGTGGGACAGTAGCAGGTAAAGAAGTTATTAAAAAGTTGGGCATCAGGGCTTTAAAGAGTTGTTTTTTTTTTTTCTTCAACTTCATTATGGCTTCTTGCACCCCCCACATCCTCATTCTGTTCATGTTTGCTGGGTTTTGGTCTTGAAATGACTTTTTAAATTCTCATGTAAGTGCTTGAAAAAGTGAGGAATGTATTCTTTATCTCAAGTTGCAGTAGTAATTTATAGACTAATATGGCATTTTATAGAGTGATCTTCATTTCCAGAAATGTGTGTATGTATATGTCTTGTACACGCATTTGAAAAACAGCAGTGCATAATTCATATGAATACGTGGGCTACTAACAGTGTAGACTAGGCCATAGCAATCGCTTTACTATTTTACATCTCTTAGATTCCCCTGTAACTTACCTGCCACCCTTCTGTTATCCGTACCTTTCACCTGCAGTCCCCAAGACACTCCATCATTTCCTGCACTTGTTCCTCTCCATTCTGGGTGTCCCGTGTTACTTCCTCTTCCCAATTCAGTGCCCCATTTTCTTAGGTCTTCAGAGCAGAAGGCAGCGCATCCCATTCAGCAGGTGAGCACAGTGAGTGACCCTTCGGAGTATGGAGCTGCTGACTGCCTTCCTCTTGGCTGGGCTGCATTCAGATGCTCTCATTCTGAGCAGCTGGCGATCGCTTCCTAGGAAGGGCACTGTGCCAAAGCCAGATAGACTTTTATCAAAAAGTCTTCTTTTATCAAAAAGAAGTAATTTCTGGAACCTCAAGTTAAGTAGGTTCAGAATGTAGTCTTTGAATAAACACTATGTCAAGTATTGTGTGAAAGACAACAATGATTCAGCCATCGTATGCTTAGATCAGGTCTAATGGAGCAGGTTTAGGTAAGATTTTTCAATAAAAGTTCACTGTATAAATGGGTAACTTTGGTTTAAAATTATGCATTTGCAAATAAAACATTTACTTGTTATAACTTTTTAAAAATTGTAGTTTGAATGACTTTTTATGTGGTGACAGTGTTACATTGGATATCTCTTTAAAAAGTGTATGACAATACTGTTTCAGCTTTCAAGTAGACTGTCCTTCCAGCCCAAAAATCTATGATTATTCTGTGTTGCAGTGTTTCAATAAAATCATGTCAGGGTAAACTTGAGTTATTTTATTTACTTGTTTGTTTTGAGAAGCATATTAGGAATTAATTTTGGTTTTATTTTTAGGAAGCATGATTGAGGATGGTAAAGCTCTTAAGAGGACTAGGGCTAACTATGATGAGACTGTCGAGTCTGAGAAGTTATGTCTTGGTCAGGAACATTTTCCTGAGAAAGCAGTTCAACAGGATTACCACATGCCTGATGTCATAACTGTCAGAGTACAAACAGGTAAATGCTGTTTTAAATGTGTATCGATGTACACAATCGTGCTCTAATCTCAACCTGTTACTAAAAGAAACAATATTTCTATCTTGGAACTTCCATTTTAACAGATACTGATTCATTCCAAGATGTAGTTGTAAAAATTGAAAGACCTACCTGTCATAAACCATTTCTGGGTGGATTTAAGAACAGGATAACAGGAGTGGAATTTCATAACGCAGGATCACAAACGGTACCCAAAAAACGACCTGACAAAGGAATTCA